TTTCCTATAAAAATCTAATACCACTGCTAATCTGACAGGAGGCAGAGCTCAGGTGGTAATGATTCTGTGCAGCCCTGTTCCTTAACAGGCCACAGACCAGGAACCTGGTCCTGCAGTGGGGACTCCTGCCCTAAGAGACTAAGGCAAGAGATGAGGAAATTGACAGAGAAGTTAAGTTACTTGTGAGAATGCTGCAAGTAAGCTAGTGAACCAGAATCCAGACAAAACAGCCCGACTCACACTCAAACTACCATCTTCCCGTCTTGACCTAATGAGAGATCAAAAATCTTTCCATGCCAATACTTGGAGCATGAGGTTATAATAGAAACGTATTATAGCACTAAAAATCAATCCCAAGCCTCTCCTGCATTTCCTTTTCAATAAATGTGCCATCACATATGTGCAATGTAAGCAAGAAAACTAGGTATTGTTAAAAACGTGGGCCCTGAATGAAGGGACCCCTCAAATAGGCTTTGTGTGAACAACATGGCTGTTTATTCCCCCTGGGTATGGATGTGCTGAGTCCAAAAATGGAGTCAGCAGAGGGCAGAGGGATAGGAGTTGGTTTTATAGGTTCGAGGTAAACAGTGAAAAGTTATCAGAGTTATAGTTTAGGGAGATTTTTTTGCAAGCTGGAAGGGGGTCACAGGGTGTGGAGTCATGAGGTTGACCAAGGTCATGTTACAAAGTCCAATGGCCTTGTCAATTGAGGCCGGAATAAGAAACAATAGAAGCGTGTCTCAGGTTAGTTAGGCGCCACAGGAGTTGATCGTTCTTCCTTCCAGCACCAGGTTTTCTAATTCCAGAAGGCCCTCCAGAGGTGTATGTGCAGGTCCGGGGCTCACCATGCCATCCACCGCCTGGTCAGACCTTACTGGTGTCATTCTTGACAACTTCCTCTGCAAATTTCCATCTTCCTCCCATACATCCCATTCATCATCAAGCCCTAACAATTGTCTCTTAAATATCTGAAATGTTTCTACTCCTTTCCATCTCCACACCCCACCATTCTTGTTCCAAATAAAACATTTTTTTTACCTTCTCTGCTGAAGTAGCCTCCTAATTGGTCACTCAATTTTAATTCACTCTTGATCTTTTCTAACCCATTTCCTTTTTTTTTTTTTTTTTTTTTTTTTAAGACGGAGTCTCACTCTGTCACCCAAGCTGAAGTGTAGTGGCACAGTCTTGGCTTACTGCAACTTCTGCCTCCTGGGTTCAAGCAATTCTCCTGCCTCAGCCTCCCAAGTAGCTGGGATTACAGGAGTCCACCGCCATGCACAGCTACTTTTTGTATTTTTAGTAAATACGGGGTTTCACTATGTTGGCCAGGTTGGTCTCGAACTCCTGACCTCAAGTGATCCACCTGCCTTGACCTCCCAAAGTGCTGGGATTACAAGTGTGAGCCACCGTACCTAGTCTCTAACCCATTTTATACAGTTAAAAACAAACTGATCTTTCTAAAAGCCAAACTAATTGTGACCTTTTTAAAATCCTTCAAAGCCTCCAATTGCTGTTGGGGGAAAGACCAAAATCCTTATGCTCTTAAAAAGCCCCGTAGGATCTGGTTCCTTCCAGTTTTCCCATTTTCCTTCACTTTTCTCTATGCTTTGTTCACCAGCCATCCTGGACTTTCTCTAATTCCATAAATTTGTCACTATCCATTCATCTTTAAGACTTGAGTACTCTGTGTGTGTGTGTGGCACTCTTCCCTGTTTTTATCATTCGACTTCTATCATTAGGATCTCTGCCTGAAAGTCAATTTCTCAGGCCAGGCATGGTGGCTCATGCCTGTAATTCCAGAACTTTGGGAGGCTGAAGCAGGTAGATCACCTGTGGTCAAGAGTTCAAGACCACCCTGGCCAACATGCCAGGGACCAACATGGCCCCATCTCTACTAAAAATAGAAAAGAATTAGCCTGATCTGGTGGCAGTTTCTTGTAATCCCAGCTACTCTGGAGGCTAAACAGGAGAATTACTTGAGCTGGTGTGGTGGAGGTTGCAGTGAGCCGAGATCGCACCATTGCACTCCAGCCTGGCTGAAGAGAAACTCTGTCTCAAAAAAAAAAAAGAAAGTCAATTTCTCATAAAAGTCTTCCTATTCTCCCAAGTTATGTTGGATTTCTTGTACTCTGTAATAATCTTTCCTAGAATTCTATAATTTACCTTGACAGCATTTAATTATAGTTAGTGCTATTTTATTTATCATCTATCTATCTACTTATCTGTTCATCCATCTGTCCATTCATCCATTCTTCTATCATTTATCTATATATTCATCTATCTATCTCTATTTATCTATCTATAATCTATCATCTATCCATCCATCCATTCATCCATCTACTCACCCACCCACTAACCTGCCTACCTACCTACCTACCTACCTACCTGCCTACCTGCTTATACATCTACCTAGGGTGATTGTTAATGTTTGCCTCCCTCTTAGATCATAAATGCCATGGAGTTCTCAAACATAACATATAGTATGTACTCAAAATATTTTTTGAGTGAGTGAAAGAATAAATGAATATAATCTGATAAAAAGCTTGATCTTTTCAATTTTATTTTGAATATCATGATTGAGGAATCTGTAATTCAAAGATTTACGAAGTACCTAGCAGAAAAGCATTTATCTTTGCTATCCATTTGATGGCATGAGTAGGGTGTAAACAGCATAGGAATAATACTATTTTTTATATGCACAATGACTGAGAATTTTCAAATCAGAGAAAAAGCCCTCCATTTCCAATAATATACATTGATAGATAAGAAAATATAAATCTTTAAAGTAGCATATTAGATAATTTTGCCCTTTTTGGCATGTCATATAAATGAAATAATTTAATATGTATCATTTGTTTTCTGCCTCCTTTAACTTAGCAAAATGCATTTAAGATTTATCCATGATACTGTGTGTGAATCAATTTTTTTCTATTAATTGCTAAGTGTCATTCCATTGTAGATATGTAAGCTCTGTTGAGTCATTTGGTATTTCACATACATGTCTTATGTCAATATAGGTTTACAATTTATAATACTTGAATAAATAACAAGAATTTAGATTGAATGTGTATATTTAATGTCATAAAAAACTACCAAATCATTTTCCAAAGTGATTGCTATTTTACATTTCCACCAGAAATGAGTTCCTATTACTGGACATACTCCATAGCAATCAACAATGTCAATCTTCAAACTTTTAGCCATGGTAATACATATGTACTGATTTATCGTTGTGGTTATAATTTGGATTTTTCTAATGGCTAACGAAGCTGAATATTTTTTCAAATACTTATATGAAAACCTGTCTGTTAAAAAATTTGTCCATAAAAATTTTTTCAGATATAAACAAATAGAATATTAGAATACCATAATTATGTTTACCCATATGAGAAGTCTAACAAGAAAAACCATAAGCCACCTCATGAGATACAGAAAAGGTATATGATAAAATTTATTCTTTATTAGTTATTTTAAAAATAACAAAATAGGAAAATATAATGATTTTTTTTTTGAGACAGAGTCTCACTGTTGCCCAGGCTGGAATGCAGTGATGATAACAGTTCATTGTGGCCTTGACCTTCTGGGCTCAGGTGATCCTCCTGCCTCAGCTTCTGGGGTAGCTGGAATTAGAGGTGTGTGCCACAATGCCTGGCTAATTTTTTGTGTTTTTAGTAGAGGCAGGGTTTTGTTATATTGCTCAGGCTGGTCTCAAACTCCTGGGCTCAAATAATCTGCCTGCCTCTGCTTGCCAAGGGACCAAAGGTGTGAGCCGGCATGTTTGGCATATAATTATTTTTTAATGTACAAATTCTTTTAAAAATAATCTCTATTTTCTCATATATATCAATCATGGGGATTCAGGGGAATTTCTCCTTATATGTTTCTTACCCTCAAAGCAGCATTATACTTGATAGTGAATAATGAGATTATACATTAAAGTCAGGAAAAATGACAGGATGCCCATTTTCACTACTATGTTTCAACATTGTTTTGAAATTTCTGTTACGAAGTGTAGATTGGAAAGATTAGGTGGTGGAGAGACGATGGTTTTTGGTTTTGAGGGTTTTTTTTTTCTTTATTCCTTTATATGGTATTTAAATTTATTACTTGAAAAAAAATAAAACACTATCACCACAAACAGACATCCCTATATTATAAAGTTTACATTACATAGCATGGCCTATATTAAAAAATAATTAGAGTCTGAGCCACTTCTTGAACTTGTTAAATTCTGTTGCTCTGGTCTGTTGAAAGCAGAAGATTGTAGATTTAGGGGTAGGAGTTAGGCAAAAGTAGAAATAAGCCAGGCTGGAGATTTTAGAATGAGAGGCAGGCATAAGTTTTGGTCAATATCATTGTGGAATTTGGAACCAGGTGAAATACATTAAGATTCAGGGTCAACATAGTCCACCAAGCTTTGAACAAAGGAAGTGCCTAGGAAGTACTTCCTACATATCGGGCACAACTAATTTTGGCTGGGTTAATTCTGTAAATTTTCTTAAAAGGTAGGACTAGTCATCTTTATTTTACACTGGAGAAATATAGAGAGAAATTAAGTAATCTAGGAAGGCTTGGACTGGAACCCATGTCAGTCTAACTCTGAAGATTACACTCTTAACTACTGAAGTATACTTCTACTTATTTGGATGTTCCTCAAGATAAGCAGCAGCTCTAAACTTCAGGGGCATCTATCAGATTAATTATCTTGGTTTATCTTTCTTATGTGGACACCATCACTATTTTCAATGCTACTTTCAAACTCATATTTTCCCAATAATTTACAGGAACTACACTGATTTTTTTAAAGCATTTTACAGAATTTTTTGCTGATAGGTGTGTTTTTCAAACTGGATTAGAGCCCAGTAATAGATCATGGAATCAATTTAGTGGATTGTGATTAGCATATTTTTTTCTTCTTTTTTTTTTTTTTTCTTTTTTTTTTTTTTTTTTTTTTTTTTTTTTTTTTTTTTTTTTTTTTTTTTTTTTTTTTTTTTTTCTCTTCACTCAGACCCAAAGCATCAGCACTTATTAGGTGAGCTGCTGCTGACAAAAAAATATTGTCATCCTAATAGTGTATTTTAAATGTAATAATGCAGAATATGAATATAGGGATATATAGAAAATATTAGAGTTTATTAAACATAGTGATGACAAATATTCTGTGAGACATTACTTTCAGGTATACATACACACATACATATACCATGATGTATGGATTGCAATGTAAAATATATTGTTACATTGAAAGATTTAAAAGCCACTGGTCTATAGGACATCTTGGCTTTAGATTAAGTGCTGTTTGGTTTCCTGATTTTTATTTCAAGTAAATAAGTCTTGTCTCCCTAATAAATAAAACCTAATTGCAAGCATAAAGGTAAAATGGCATACGTCTCTGAATTTCTTATTGCACTTAACCCGATGCTTGGCACATAACAGGTTCTCAACAAATATTATAATAATTGTAAATGTAGGTGAAGAGGCTAGGATGGCATTGGGGAGCAGAGGGCAGCTGGCCAAATTGGTAGCTGAGTTCTCCTAGCTCTGCCCTCTAAAACGCTAGACCAAGACAGGATTGAGAGACACCAAACAAGATACAAGGTGTCAGATAGGAGCACTGATTATTTTATATGGTTTGTTTTTTTCCTGAAGTATTAGATAATCAGTTCAGAAAATATGCACTACAAAGAAAATAATAAAGGGGAAAAAGACACCTATAATCCTAAAGCTGAAAGATAACCACAATTATTTATAACATTTAAAGCCTATTAACATTTGCTACATTTTTGCCCTGTCTTTCCTGTAGTATTACTCTGATTGTACCCAATGCCTGTGCCTCACCGTATAATAAATTCTCTTCATAATTATAGTTTTGCTGGTTATATTCTAGCTCTGTTTCACAGCTTATTCAAGCATTCTCTTACTGTCAAAAATGTTAGACTTTTTTCTAATTTGTAATATTATAAATTATGACTTAACTAACAGCTTTATGTAAAACTTTTCCTGACTTTATTTCCTTAGATTCTCAAAAATGAAATAAATTTAAAAATGGACTTTTAAAGCTCTTGATATATATTGTGAGGTCTTCGATCATTCATTGTGATCAAATTTTAAATGGTAAGGCATTGTGTTCTAGGACACCCCACTTAAAGGGCCATTGTACTTTTCATATGGGTCGATTTTTGGTGACTTTAATTACCCATATGCATTATCTCTGAAAATATCCCTTGAGTTTAATCTAAAAAAGTCCCAAATGACCTACAGAGCAATTACTATTTCCCTTATGAATGTTTGCAAAGCCATTATTTTAATGAGGTTTGCGCATCTATGTTTGGATTGTATATGATCTCGGATTCAGGGTACTGATGGGGATAAAGACATATCCTTTGTTAAACAATAATATACTGTCTTTATTTTTTGGTTGTATGTAGTGAAGAATGTTGCTTTTCTATATTTATCAACACTGCCCCCACAATGTGAGTGGGTGGAATGGAGGATTAATAAGGAAATCTTGAAGCCGACCTATTTTTATGTGTTTTCTAGTTTATTAGAATAGAATCCTATTTTGATTCTGTTCCTCTAACGGTTTATTTTTTTCCCCAAGCAGACAAATCTTCGCTGTCTAGAAACAGAATTCATGTATTGCTCCAGTTATGATAAACTTCCTGACATAGAGGGAGATATTTTTGGTGGTAGATTAGATATTTTCTGTAGCCTAGCATTTGATCACAACTATCAAATCTGGCAGCATATATTGATCTGCCGTGATGGTAATTAAGAAATACATATTTCACCAAGTTATATTAAGTTCACTCAGTTCTTTTTTTTTTTTCTCCATGTTCCATTAAAAATCAGATTAAAAGAATACTATGAGAGAATGTACAAGTTAACCTATTCTACCTCTCCTGCTTTTCTGTATCTCAGGACGTTTTTCAGGACTCCTTGCTATCTCAGGGACTCAGCCAAAGGCATCACAGTAGGTTTAGTCAAAGGCAGTGCTATGGGCTGAATGTCTGTATCCCTTCAAATTCATATGTTGAAGCCCTAACCCTAAATGCAACTGTATTTGGAGATGGGACCTCCAAGGAAGTAATTAAGGTTAATTGAGGTCACAAGGGTGGGGCACTGATTCAATAGGATTAATATCCTTATAAGAGACACCAGAGAGCCTGTGTGTGCACATTCTCTCCCGCCCTCTCTCTCTCTCTCTCTTTCTCCCCCAACCCCGTTTTTCTCTCTGAATCTCTTTATCTCTCTGTGTGTCTTTCTGTATCTTTGTCACTCTCTCCTGCACATGTACCAAGGAAAAGCTATGTGAGGACATATGGAGAAGGTGGCTGTCTACAAGCCAGGAAGAGAGCCCTCACCAGAAACTAAATTGGCAAGAAACTTGATCTTGGACTTCTAGCCCCTAGAACTCTAAGAAAATATTTTTGTGTTTTTTAAGTTACCCAGTCTGTGTTATTTAGTTATGGCAGCCCAAGCCCAATACAGGAAGGTGGTGGCCAACAGGAGGAAGGGGAGGTCTGCTTACTTCTCACCATTTCCTGCATCCTGTGTTGTCTTGGCAAGCGCTTCTCTTTCATAACTCCAGTCCCTCAAAGAAGCCATTCACCCTGAGATCCCACTTCTGACCAAGATATTTCTACCATGGCTCTGGCTCCCACACATTGTTCCTCCTGCCCTAGAGATGGTAATGGCTTCCTGCTATTGCCAATCTATATTTGCCTTACTCGCCTCTTTGTTTTTCAACAATTGCATCATCTATTGTTTTAGTCCATTTTGTGCTGCTATAACAAACATACCTAAGACTGGGTAATTTATAAAGAAGAGATATTTATTTTCTCACAGTTCTGGAGGCTGGAAGTCCAAGATTAATGTGGCAGCAGATTCAGTTGTCTTGCAAGGGCTGCTCTGTGCTTTCAAATAGTGCCTTGTTGCTACATCCTTTGGAAAAAAGAAATACTGTGTCCTCACATGACAGAAGGTGGAAGAGTAAGTGGGCTAACTGTTACTTGCAGCCTCTTTAATATAGGGGTCCTAATTCCATTCATGAAGGAGGAAGCCCTTAGGTCCCAATCACCTCTTAAAGGCCACATCTCTTAATAGCAACACATTGACCAAGTTTCAATGCCAGAATTTTGGAGTGGACATATTCAAACCATATCATCTGGGAAACAATTTTCTTTTCTTTTCTTTTTTTTGAGATCGAGTTTCACTTTTGTTGCCTAGTCTGGAGAGCAATGACACAATTTCTGCTCATAGTAACCTCTGCCTCCTGGGTTCAAGTGATTCTCCTGCCTCAGCCTCCTAAATAGCTGGGATTACAGGCATGTGCCACCATGCCTAGCTAATTTTTGTATTTGTAGTAGAGATGTGGTTTCTCTATGCTGGTCAGACTGGTCTCGAACTCCTGATCTCAGATGATCCACCCACCTCAGCCTCCCAACGTGCTGGGATCACTGTGTCCAGCCTGGGAAACAATTTTCTATAGTAAATCTTGCTGGTTGAAGAACCCAGAGCATGGCTTCAGCTTTCTTGGATAGAACTGACTGCTACAGAGTCATTTTACTTAACAAGGCTTAATCTTTCAGGTTTTAGAATGAGTCTTTCAGGTAATAATTGTTGGAGAGTTCATGTAACCACTCTAACTTGTCAGGATAGTAATGTGAAACCTGTTCTACCATCGTTTTCTACTAAAGTCTTCCTCTTTTATTCTCGTAACTTATAACACATTGAAACGGCAAAGCTGCAAGTTAAAAGTTTCTTCCAGTGTATTACACATTGCTGCATTCACTTTTTATTTTCATTCATGTTTCTTTTTTCCTCCCCCATCCTACTCAACAACTTATTTTTTGTTATAAATATCTTCCAGTTTGGATGAAAAAAAAAGATTGAAGTGAAATGACCCATGATCAAATTTAACACTAGGAGACTCAGATAAATCATGAACTCGCATACTGATTTTGTCACTGATTGCTTCAGTAAAATCTTTAATGGTTCTTTAGATGGTGTATTGGATGATGAGTTCTGATTCCCACAGATAAATTGAGTCCTATACGCCTAGGTTTGATTTTTTTTTTTTTTTTTTTCTCTGTTGCCAGTTGCTATTTTTTTTTTTTTTTTTTTGGTCCACACTTTAAATTGTGCCTAGAAAATTCTCTGGATAGAATTTGATTGCAGATGTCTATTATATTCTGATGAACACATATCAGTTCAGTCTTCCAAAGCATTTTATAATGGAGTGAAGCTGACGTTGTAATACAGTAGCACACTTATCAGGCCATTAAAGTGTCCCTCTTATGTAATAGTAGCTGGTTGCAGTTGACTAAAAGAAACTCTGATGGACTTTCACTTGGAAAATTGTGCAAATATATTCTTCATTTTGATTTCTTTTCATAGGACCTTCAGTTTTCCATAGCATGTTTCAAAAGAGGAATGCAAGTAAACATGCTACGATATTTTACTTAGGACCTATCTAATGTCTCACAGAGAAGATTTCCTATAGTCAACCATAAATACAAATAAAGCATGTTCTGTACACAATTCATTGTCATACTTTGGTATTTATGAAACACCCCATGGAGGCATGATGCGCTTTCTTTCCAACTGCTGTGCATTTTCAGCCTCCACCAAAAAGTATAATAAATAAATATGAATATACCAATAATTTAATTGAGCCTATAAAAATAATCTAATTTATAACTTGAGAAAATATATTTTGACCTAAAATTATCAGCATTCATTAATAAATTGTGTGTTCCTTTATATATTTTAATCTAGTAAATAAGATTCTTTTCTCATCCAAAACAGGAATTAACTTTATCCTGTTCTCATTAACCTCTTCCAACCCATATGTAACACCATTTGTTGTCACAAAGACCTTCTTAGCTTAACTCTATTAGAATTTGTAAATGTACAGATTTTTCTCTTCTCAGACTTGGTAAGAAATTCCCAAATTATGAGTGCCTTCATCATCATTATCATTATCAAATAATACTGCTCTCCCCCAAGTGCCTCAGGCTGCTGGAGACTACTAAATTTCATTAAGCCCTTTCTGTCCCATTTTAGCAAG